GTAACCCTGTTTCTCCAAGTTGGTGTGCTTTCGCCTTTCGCTTATATTGGCTTGATGAGAGCTAATAAACTCGAAACCGGTAAGCAATTAACGCCAGTACCCAGTGATTGAGTGTTTGGGTTTCTCTATTGTCCTATCGAGCAAAACCACACATATTATGTAATCTGGTCATGACCAGAAACAATACACAATTTGTTCTATGATTAGAACACTTGTGTCTTCGTAGATAATTTTCGTTCATAATAATCCAACTACGGTGTCGTGTACTCCGAAGACAAACTCCAAATGTATAAAACCCGACCTTGACTGGGTGCAACGCTGCGCCTGTGGCAACGAAAGGTAATTAGCAGAATGGAATTGTATAAGCGGCTTAATGCACCCGATACCGTAGCAAATAATCGTCTAAAGAGAATCATTGTTAATGTAAACATATTGCCTTGCTGGATGCACTCAACTCTCTCTCGCTCTCTCTTATCTCTTTGCAATGACTAAGGATTTCAAGCAATTAGGCCAGTTTATGTGTGAAACACGATATCCTGATAGCCACTATTGCCACTTAAAGAGCTCTCAAAGTTTATTTTAACACAAACTATTAATATTACACCAAATTACTTCTGAATTCATTCCGCGAAAGCATTTAGATTGCTGGTAAGAGAATCCCAGAAATGTAATCCAATGCAGCAAAATAATAAAAATTGCTGCAAAGAATTTATAGAAAAGGAAAAAACATTATTAATGTGTTAATTAAATTTGTACGCCCATGAAATGTTTTATTTTTGTTGGCGGTCCGTGGTTGAAGTATTTTAAAAATATTCTTTCGGCAAACAAAACAATATTTGTTTCGTTTTTTGGCATAATTAAATTAGAGCCGTACTTCAAAACGTGTTTAGAAAATTTTCTGAACCACGCCATGTTGAGCCTGGGGCACGACCGTAAATTTTTTCTCTCAATTATGGATTATTACAGTGCAAACATCTGGTAATGAGAGTTTTTTAATGAGACAGAGGGAGGGTTGGTTGTTTTCCAAAACGAGTCATTTACACAAATAATCTTGCAATATTTTAAATCATTATATCGGGTCTTCAAAAAAAAAACCAATCAAAAAATGCTTTGAATACGAAAACGTATGTCGCATTATTGTTTCTTTATGGGTCAGGATTTTTGACATGACATTTTGACATTTAAGTTCATTGACAAATTAAAGAAAAATATTGCTAAGACGTTTAAAAAAACCATAGCAATCTTAGATTGTTTTTATTTTGAAGACCCGAGATGTTAGAATGGAAAGTCGCATACATTTTAGATAATTCGAACATGTTGTTTCTTCAAGGTAATGATAAAGTTTTTAACCACCAGGAGCCTGATTTTTGAAACGAGGAAGCAATATTTCTGTCTTTCTCAGTTCCATGCAAAATCTCACATGAGAGACTAAGACAGCAAATGGGTTCTTTTTGTTTCGAGAATCACACGCCCGGAAACAAGTATGACATACTTCGTTTTAAAAGCACCTTGCCAGTTCCGGTTGTGTGTGTTTCTTATGAAATTGCCCCATTGATAGACAAGAATAACATAGGGATGACTGGATAAACATTTCCCTTTTGGCACCCCTGTAGACGAAGCCATTTTTGTTATTTTAACAAGATCTTCAGCAAATTTTCACTACGTACTCGAAAACACTTTACTATGCATGAAATTAGGAAATATATAAACACAATCTGTTGGATGAGAAAAAACAATTTGTTGGCAAAGCAATATACCCTTTCCATTTTGACGATTCAAGAGAACCTAGTTTATGTGGTGTTGATTTCTTGTACTAAGATGGTTGAATATTCAATTTAGTGTGGTTTTACATAGACATTCCCTTATTTAGTCTGGAGTTACCCAATTCCGTAATTCTTAATAGTTGTCCCTAATTCTCAATTCTTGAAAAGTTCAATTTATTTAACATTAGTGTTTTTAAAGATCAAGAATTAAGAACAAAAATTAAGAGTTAAGGAATTGTGTAACCCCGGCCTTAGACTCATTCTCTGACTCACATACTACGCGCTTTATACAAAAAAACATTCAATTGAGAAATCTCCAGAATCACGTAATGGATTCCCGAATACTTACGCTCGGTTCGTTAAAAATTCCGCTGGCCTGTACACTGTCAACATACAAAAAAATAGGTTATTTCCTCGGGTATTTCTGAAAATATCGAAAAATGATAAAGAGGAAAAAGTTTGAAGGCTTTCACGGCCGGTCAAATCTAGTAAAAAAGTTTCTTCCGGGCTATAAAACCGAGATCGAGTAATATTTCTACCTAACGTTTCCTCTACTGCTGCGGTAGAAATCTTCAGAGGCGGTGTGGTAGAGGACGAAGTTCTCTTCCGTGTTCCTCCGAAACTTGAAAATAATTTCCAGCAATTTCTCTTGTTCGGTATTATGCTTTTTTTTTCAAAGTTTCAGTGTTATTCGTTTCTGAGATATAGCCGGTTACCTCCTTAGGTGAAACACCCGGTACAACCTTGACAATTTCCTTTTTTCATCTAATTCTAATTTAATGAATCCTGATATAAACTTACTTAAAACTTAAACGGTATTTTGAAATGAAATAAAAATTTGAACAGATTATTCAAAAAATTCCAAATACGTTAATAAGATTATGTCATCCTTTATGCCAAGTTGCTCTAGTTTCAACATGTCAAAGCAAAATTCATTCTATACATTTTTATTGCAGTACAAAAGAGCATATTAATACAAAAATGCTATATTAACCAAACTTCTTGGTAGGTATTCCAAATTTGTACAGATTTGGTAGGTGAGCAGAAAACTGAAAACCACTTAAACTCAACATTCTTTGAGATTTTGATGAATAACCTAATTTTTTTGAAAATATGTCAAATTTAGCCGGTAGGTACTGTTTTCGAAGCAAAAACTGTCTGGAAACTCTAAGCTAGGGAATAAAAAAATATCCAATATGTTGCGGCCATTAATGGTCACACTGTAATATATGAAAATAAACGAACGCATCACTCACTCGTAAAATTATCAAATTTATTAATTTACTTTTAAATTATTTAATAACGATACATTGAATTTAATTAATTTCATATTTGCATGCAATTATTCAAAGTTAATATATCTGGTTTGGAATTTATTAACTAATGTTATAATTAAATAAGTTGGACATAATTTATTGAAAATTATTCAATGTAGGTATTTCAGCATTAAATAATTTTACTTCTCGTGTTCCATCCGAGGTTCCATCAATACTTTTTGTTTTGTGTTTGCTTGTTTTGCATTCTTTCTTAAATTTGGTTGCAGACCGTGAAAGGTTCATAATATTAGATGGTTTTATATCACGAACCATCAAAAAAGCAAATACTATTTTTGGTTATTAATTTATTGCTACATCGATACTTATTTTGCTGCCTAAGTCCTTTCTCATTTATATCAGAAACGTAAAACTTTCTCAGAGAGCTTTAAAATTCACAAAAAAAAAACTTTTAAAAACTGGGTACCTAACTCAAATAGATTTTCTTGTCTTCTGACATTCTATATTTCTATTCTTTATTAAGATTTAGATCTTCTGGATAACTTTTTTTTTCTTTTTCACCAGCTTTCTCCAAATTATCCAGGAAGTGGATGGTACCTGTTGAATATCTTGGGGAGAAACCACCTGCATTTATCTCAATGGAGGCATTTATTATTCCATTATTCTCTAGTAGGTGCATGACTCCAGATTCAGACTGCTCGTTTTCAATAAATTCAAATTTATGAAAAACATAATTGATTGAATGGAAATGGCCCTGCTTAGGCTGCCGTTTGTGTTGGACCACTGTTATTCAGGTTTCGTCAACAATAAAAAATCTGTGTGGCGAGTAGTCAATTTTTTTCATTGGTATTGTGACACGACATAATATATAAAAAAAAAAACATTTTCTTTCTATTTTTCTGAGAAAGACCAATTATTTTCTTGATTACCGTATACTGTCTTACTGTCGTCTTCGCCTGAAATGTAACGGGTAATCAGTAAATTCAGTGGAGAACCACTATTATCCCTGAGAGTTCTTTCCCTCATTTTTTTCCTAGACTTGAAAAGTGTGTTTAGTATTCTGTGTCATCGAGTGCTCGTCCGTTTTATTCCAAGGACAGTCGAAATATAAAAATTCCCTTTCAATATGCAGTAACTACGAGAAAAAACAACCATTTAATTATAAGAATGGATAACAGTTAAAAAAGTACACAGACACACACTTAATTATATTATTTTTGTAACAACTGTAACGCTACTGAAAGGGCGATCGTCAGGGGGTGCGTCAAGCAACCCCCAGGAGCAGTGTGGGTAAAGCGAGTTAAGTGTTACTCAGGACCCCCAAAACAATCGTCCGCTGACCGCGGAAAATATATTGTGGGATTTTTATCGCCGTCTCTCCCTCAGGATCAACCGAGTTTGTTGCACTATTAATCATTAGTCTCCTTCTAATTAATCTCGCAATAATGAATTTTATTTTATTATCAAATTTGCAATTTGTTCCGCTGTAATTTTTGCGCTCTGGATCATCTGTTAACGACTAACGAATTAAAATTTATTCACCCCTCCTGTTTTATTTTGCCTCTTTTTTATTGCAGAAAAAAAAAGCGCCAAACGGGAACGTCTGAACATTTGTTATTTCATGGTAGAAGTTTTTGCATGACCAAGGATAGAATAACAATAATAATGGGACCAAATTAAATAATGGTTGGGCAATCCATCACTCCATCAAACAATAGATTGTAATTTTTCAAGAAATTTGTACAGGTAGAGTAGGTTAGATTTAAATAACTTTTTCCATTTTCTATTAAAAGTCCCACCAAGGATGTCAAGTTGACAAATTTCTTGCATGGTACAAGCTCATTTCAAGACAATGATATTGCGTTTGTGAGTATATTAATATAAATATTGATTGGTGAGATTGATGAATATCTCCGACTACTCATGGATAATGAATATTCTTACTATACTATAGCATGCTTACATTTTGTACACGATGCCTCGTCGAATCGCTCCGGGAATCCCTTCGAAAGGCTATGCATAGGAACTAGTAGCTGGAAAAGACAAAAAAAAAATATAATTAAGCATCTTATTTCTTAAAAAAAAAGATAATATTTCATACCATTCTTGAAACACGTATATTTTATTATCTAATATCTCGAAGACACTGTATTTATTTTCTCTTCGAGACAAAATATATTTAATCAAAATCAAATTTATTAAGACTAACAAGCAAATAACACTTCATTCTATAAATGTGATAATTATTCATATTGACTCGCGTGGGTTTGGGTAGAATTAAAAAAATTACTAGGAATCTTCGGCAATCTCGTGTCGAAGTTCGTCTTTGAGTCTTCAATGTTTTTGTAGACGTTGGCCTTCGGAAGGAGAGAAACACTAATCTGTGACCTGAACAAGGTCTTCAACTATAGGTCTGTTCTTACAAGAGTCTCTGACAATCGCTCAGCCAAGTTACCGATTTTTAGGCGCAATTCATATTATACGTACCGGCACCGTCACGTCACCGTACTGTCAACGACACACCGCACATTAGCGTGACGGTGTAGTGTGACCACAGCTATTACTGTCACTAGGCAGAAATTCATGCAATTCAAGCGTGCGCACAGGAGCTTTCCTAAGGCTGGGTTATAACAACCAGAACATCGGTATTCTCTCAGTAAGGCTGCTCTAAAAGCTCTGATGATTGATTAACTTAGAAAATAACGATGGAATGCCTACACGACTTGGAAGCTCTGTCGTCAAGGAATGACAGAATAAAGCTCCTGTGGGCATTCGGTGCTAGAAGGCAACGAAAAGGTTGACGAACTGGCCAGAGCAGACGGAGCTGCACCCTACAAAAGACCAGAAACCGTATTTGGGATATCGAAGCAGGTTATAAAGACGGCAGTTGAAAGGTGGTCGACCTATCAACACCTCGACTATTGGCGGTCTACACCTGGAGCAAGATACTCGAAGGGTATAATTGGGAACCTTTCAAAGATGCTAACAGCTGAAGTACTGTCACTAACGCGTACTCGGATGAGACGGGTGGTAGGACTACTAACAAGATATTGCCATCTTTAGGCGCACATGCAGAAAATGAGAGTCTACAATGGCCCAACGACATGTAGACTATTTGCTGAAAAGGAGGAAACCGTCTTACACACGATATACGACTGTGAAGACACAATTTATTTGGAGGAATACAACGCGGCGACAGACTTCCGCATACGGCCGTGTTTATGTTGGAGCTGTGATAAATGATAAAAGCAACGATACTAATGATACTTTACATTAGTATCGTTGCTTTTATCGTGTATCACAGCTCCAACATAAACACGACCTAAGAAACTCGCCAGCAAGCTGCTAGATCTCATCAAAGGGACGGAAGTTGCTTAAACAAGAGAGGAGGTAGCACAATAAGCCTTAAAGCTGCAGTGCAAATCGGGACACGAGCACGCCTGACCAACCAACGACCTTTGATTCCAATTCTATGTAAGAATAGTTGACGTGTCGTTGACGGTACGGTGACGTGACGGTGCTGGTATAGTATGAATCGCGCCTAACCTTGGAACGACGGCATTGAAAACATATATGGGCGATGCTCTTGTCAGAACAGATCTTGTGTCCATCATGGAGCCCTCTTCCGCAAACTCCGGGAGTGTCAAGCAAATCATATTAGCATAGTATTATGACGTAGGTTCCCGTAATGTGCGATGATGCTTGATCTACATGGTTGGTCTTTATTTTATTTATCTATGTGTGTTTCGGATAATTATTTTTTGTTTTCTTATTTTCATTTCTCCAGTTAGTCAATATTTCTATCTATTTAATTTTTAATTTTCTTGGGTGTAGTATGTTTCACACTATATTTTTTAAAGTACGCCAAAGGATCGTCAACAAATAGTTTTATATTAGCAGAATAAAGCCTGTTTTCATTTGGTTCGAAATTAAATTTTTTGTTGCATTCGTTTTATAGGACTGTCAATAACATTGTAGAAAATTGGATTTCGGACGACTAAAAACACTAATAGATAAAAAACAAACCACCAATAAGCAGTCACTTCACGAATCCTGGATATGTATAAATTAGTCAATATAAGATGACCCAACGTATTCAGTAATCATTTCTAAAAACCAATATGTACATATTGAGTATAAGGTTGCATACAATATTGGATATCTGATATATTTCAATTTGGTTATGCAAATTGTTAATTTTTCAAACTCCGGGTTTGTGAAATTGTAATTCCGAGCATGTTTTCGATATCGGTTATAATCGAGAAAATAAGACGTTGCATTTTTAGCTAACATAAGTAGAAATGCATTTTTTTTTTCTTCGCTCAATACCTACGTAATTGAAACTTTTGTTATCGAAAATATGTCAACAAAAGTCTCAAAGAAATCATTATTTTTTCAACTTCATATTCGTATTCTCTCATGAAAATGAGGATGCTTTGATCCTAGAATTATAATCAATCGAGGATAAGGCTATACATGGGTACAGGAAGCGCGAAACTTTTTCACTTTAAACAAAAAGTTACTGTGTTCTGTGTCAATTTAGGCGTTTTTTTCTAACTGTAGAATTATGGACAGTAGGAAAAAGTTATTTATCTCATTAGGCCAAAAAGACCTTCTCATAATGGCAGGCAATGTTGCCGTTCAAGTTTGTTTACTTTAAATGTCAAATAAATAATATGTCACTCGGAACATAATAATTTTTATGTTCATAATCGACTCGTGTGTCAAATTTTGACGACAATAAAGTTAAATTTATAGACCGCTTGAAGGTAAATATAATTATTATAAGCAAGTATACATACGAGAAAGCTCATGAATGTATTAAGTGAATGTTACTCATGGCTGGTCTGATGGTGCATGGGAAAATATCAACTCGTGCGTTGCACTCAAATTTATTCTTTTCCTATGAGTATTTACTGGACTTCCAATATCCAATAAGTGTTTTCAAGGTAACATCCTATCAAACAATAAATTTTTCGAATATGAAATATTGAAAGTTTGAAGAATAACAGAATAACCAAATAACGTGAATAAAACCGTTTCATTAGAGATTTTCTTTATTAAGTCTCGTTTTAATACAACATTGTCAAATTTAATTATACCTAAATGAAAGCCTGTTCTGTTGCAAGCGCATCACGACATATTAAAAGCCTTCAATTAAAAATGTACAAAATTCGATCAAAAGAAAGGCGGTTTTTAAATTATCTTTTTTAAATTTACGACCATTTTGTCACTGAACATTTATGATCATGGATATGGGCGTAAGCATTGTATATCATTGTGTAGACACCATTAGCTGTCAAAAAGGATGCATTGAATTAAATTAATTGAGATTTAAAGCCTAATATCTTTCGATCAGCGAGTTTCTTTCACACCATTATATCATTAGGAAAGAAAATGTTCCTTCGCTCAATTTAAAATGGTGTTTAGTTTTGCATAAACATAATTTTAATAACAATCATTATTATGTATTTGAAAAAACATAAAACTATTATTATTATCAAAAATTCAACAAACAAAAAAACATCAATTTAAACCCTCTTTCATTGATAGACTGCCAGCGATTAAACACTAACAGGACACCTAATTATAGCCTTCAACCTATTATTAAAGTAAATAAAAATTCAATAACTTCCAAAGATTAATAGGTAGATAACCATAGGATGAAATTGTTGCCTAAAAATAATAAAAACAACCCATTATTTGAAAAAAAAAAATGTGGTTGGACAATATGAGCGACCCATAAACAAGTTGCTGGCATTTAAATATGCCCAAAAGCCATTCACTTCACTGAATGCCTCTAATGGACACCTATGTAAGTTAAACAAATTTAAATCTTTTAGCTTCGACCGAAAGCTATACCTGGTCGTTTCGAATTTAATTGTTTTAAATTCTTAGAAGCATCATTAAAATGCCATGGATATTCAAGCACGAGTGGTTACGTTATGATCATAAAAAAAAAACATTTCAAAGGGATTGAATATTATTTAAATTGTGAAAGAATGAATGGTCTTTTAGTTGGAAATTATTATAATTTTTGACCAGAGAAAAATGCGAATGTTTCATAGGGGTTTTGACTGACCAAATATAGAAGCATTCTAAATTATGAATAGTTGCATTTTTTTTCCCCAGAGAGAACTCGATTCAACCAATCATTTGCCATCATTGAGGCAGTGATATCATATTTATCAAAAACTATCCTGTGAGGGGAATTTAAAATACAAAGATGCGATATTATTGGCAAATTGTGGGCATATTTGGAGTCTAATCAGACCCTAGCGACTTAAGCTTGTTTTTCAAGTCTTTACATATTGTGTTAAGTAAGTCTCAAGCAAATTTCAATAGGTCAGGGTGAGGAACATTTCAGCGTTTTTTTAATTTAAAGTTAGGAACACTTGAGCTTTATTTAAGTTAGACGCTTAGCTTTTCAATAGACTTAATTATTGAGTCCATATAGTTGTTATAATTATTTTTCATTTCAGCTTTTCCAGAGTTGAAACATTACTTCACTCTGTGGAGCCCTCAGTAAACACTCTTCACCTCATTTATGCTCACCGGCAAAAATCTGCTGTCATAAAATCTTAGTGGAAAATATAGGCAATGAGGATGGAACTTTGGGCGCCTTGTTGTCTTGTCAGGTTTAGAGAACATGGTCCCATCGATATATTACTGGAGTCAGACAATAATATCAAGGGCAGCAATTTTTTGTGGACTCGTTCATCAATGCTTATCTTTCTGAATCGTCGCATATTTGTTGCCCAAAAAAAATGTAAGTACACATTTCATTTGTGGTGCAACTATTTTAGTCCAGTCAATATATGGGTTTTTCAAAAAAAATTACGAGGGCAGGCCGATTTTTTCAGACCTGATTGGAGATTGTGTCCTGAATATTGAGCCAAAAATCACACTAGGGACCCTTGTGCGTTCGGCCCTATTGGCCTTTTTCTTATTCATTTTATTTCGACAAAATGACCTTGATAAAAGTTATAGATAACAATGACAGGAGAAAAGCCGCTGGCAACGTCGCAGAAGG